TTAACAAAGATGATCATTCATTATAAATTTCACCAGTTTAATGTCAATAATTACAAAGACCGTCAGTAATAGTAAGACACTTGATGTAGAGTCCTAACAGCCAAGAGTACGTACACCTTCAGTTTTATCAGCCTGACCTTCGAGAACAGACTGGACAAGCATTGGTCAGATCAAGATTGCATGTCCTGCCAATGCTTTTAATATAATGCAGTGCCGTTTGCCCGCCCGCTATACCTAAACCCTAAATATGAATTATGACCCTATATCCTTGACCTATGATAACTGGTGACCTAAACTCAAAAATAAAAATCTAACATGAAAATATAGACAAAAACAGGAAGTATATGTGGGAAATAAATCCTTCACATTGTAATAAAACCTTGATGGTCATAAACGTGATTTGATCTTTATCTTTGATCCGAAAAGGAGACAAAAAATAATAACACTTCCAGGAATGAATCTCAGGAAACTCTGGTTAATAAAGGAAATGCATCTACTTATATATGGAGATTTTAAGATCCGGACAGACAAACATATATACTGTAACCAACGCATCAATAATCTTTGTGTATTTTCTCAGAGATTTAGAAGATAATAACTCAAGAACCTACTAGACTTGAAGGTCAGACATATAAACTTGTAACTAATATTCCATCAACTTTATTCCAAGGTTATTAGTATGGTATGTGACAGTAAGAGACTAAACAATGCAAACAAACACATGAACATTCGTAGTTGGAGGATAGTAGCATTCGTAATTGATTTAAACTGTTCCGACCATAACGCTAACATTTTAGGGGGGTTGACTGATAACTAACTGGTCTTTTACAGTTAATTAGGCAGAGTTATTGCTCCAGAAGTATATAACATCACTTCAGTGTAAAAAAAAAATCATATATTTCATCTTGAATTTGTTTTTGAGTCTTAGATTAATTCAACTAGTTAGATACACATTTTTACTAACATAACGTTGAGGCTATATTTCTCTTAAGGGGGTCTGTTAATACAATAAGCAGAGCGTCTTATGTGTGGTAAGTTATCAACGCTTTATCAGAGAACCTTTAGAAGCTGAGTAAAAAAAAAAAATGGGACTGTTTCACAAGACCAACTGAGAACCTGCTGAGAAATTTGAATGAAATATTGAATGTGATATCAAGTTTGTCTACACGACTTCAGATTCTAAGCGAGCGCCTCCGAACGAAATTTCCTCAGTATGTAATTCCAACCCAAAATAATTTCACTGGATTTAGCTTACCGAATTTAATATCTCACGATTAAGTGAAATATTAAAAGTGGCGTAGAGTAGTGAAGGGGTTAATGGAGATAGTTTATTAAAGAAGAGGGGGAGAAAAGATACTGTAAGCATTTGACCCACATTTGGTAACTCAATACCGAACTGTTTTAGAATTTTCGATAATACACCATGCAATTCTGATTATATGTGAATTAATAATGCTGTTTAGCCTAACGGATCTTTGTTTTGGTTGTCGACGGGTAACACTGCTAAATGTGATTGTTTTAAGTGACTGGCCTGGTACTAGCATCATGGTAGTCCTCAGTTCGAGTTGATGTAGTTGGAATGTTTACAGTTTTAACGTATTACTGCTCGTAAACAACTAAACGCTGTAGGTGCATTATTATTAAAAGTAATTACACACCAGTCATCAATAGTTAAAAATTAGGTATTATTTCTTATTTTATTAACATGAGGATATTTTAGTTGTAAGTTCACTGATTACTTGTTTATACCACTTGAGTGCATGTTCCGTTCAGCCTTTTGTCCGTCACACGATGGAGGAGGTCACAGCTCATGCTACCAACCCCTTTTCGTCAGAGGCTCAGAGCTCTTAACTGAAGGTATATAATGTTAGAATGACAGCGTGTGATTTTATTTAACTCCTTATATGAGTTTTGGGAAGAAACTCTTGCTTATTTGCGATGTTTATTGGTGAAGTTTAGTCAGCCTAAGTGACTGCTATTCCTGATCAGTCTGATGATATTTTACCAACGTGAGGGATTCTTTCTCACATACAGGTTCAGGCAACAGTAACCAGTTTTTGTTCACCTTCGTTTTTTTTTCTGTATCGTAACAAAGAGAGAGAGAGAGAGAGAGAGAGAGAGAGAGAGAGAGAGAGAGAGAGAGAGAAGGGAGGGTAACTCAACAATATCGCCCCAGTGTCTTGTGGCGGTTGTACCTCAATTGAGTAAAGCCTAAATTACTAGTAACATCTGCTGTACAAACTCGTATACCTTTTAGATATGAGTTTTATTAGATACTGTACAAAAACCAATGTGAAATCACCTCACCTCCCAATTTTGCTCCCAATATTGTCAAAAAGCTTTCTAACAAGATAACTAGGATATATCAAGCGCTACATCTACCTACTAATAGTTTCAACGGTGTAACAAAATAGTGCTGAAGATAACAGCGAGAATAAACCTAAAACCTAAACTTTAACCAAGGGGTGACAGACAGACGAATGATAAATATAAATCTTTTAGGTGAGCGGGTAACGAAGAGCGTAATAAGAGTTCTTTAGGCTAATCTTCGAAGATTTTTTATATTCATTTACTACACAATATTATTTATTCATCTAATTCTTTTACATATTCATCCATTTGTTTGTTTTAATTCTGTTCTTGTGAAAAAATTCAGACGGTTAAAGACGTACATTTGTTTAGTGTAGATTCCAGGCCTGTTATCTATTTATTAATTCTCTCTCACCTCTGACATGTTTCCCCGGACTGTATGATTATCGTCTTTATTCAGAGAGAAGAATAAGCAAAATAATAACACTACATTCACGTGATCCTCCGGAGTTAATTGTGTAACAAACCCTAACACAAATTTTACAACAACAGATGAACGTAAATCAATAACTTGGAAGTGTTATTCCGCTATTAACTTCATCTAAAAAAAATCTAAATTTTTAACACAGGAGAAAAGTGATCACAAGTTGGTAATTCCATCCCAAATTCGTGTTATTCCTCGCCATTAGTGATATGTGGTTCTTTGTCTGGGTAATTTTGGTTAGCCTCCAAGATGGTGTTCATTTCCCGTTTTCTGGGTAGTGAGCGTCACCCAGCGGTCAGCACCTCTGGCCCTTGTCGGTGACTTGCTGGGATGTTATCAAGGTGAGCAACACTCCCCCGCTGCCTCACGTAGCTTCGCTCAGGAAACTAAACATATCGTAAAAACCATTCACAAGTCGGTGAAGAGGAACAGGCCGCCCTCCTCTCTTGCATCACGGGAGAGACTGTGAACTGGGGAGCATGTAGGTAGGGCGTGACGTTGGGTGAAAATATTACTACCTGAGAAATACTCATCGTTTTCCGTTGAACATTAAACATCATTAAATGTCCTGATGGTTGATGTTGGTGTAAGAAAAACAAAAACAGCATTGATCAGTGACTCGCCTTTTCTATCTCACGTAATTACAGTGGATATCAGTAGTGTTTTTAGGCAGACTCGAATCTTCATGCCGAAATTTGATCTAAGATTGTTTATCCCTCAGCCCTCATCAGCCAAGCACTAGGACCTAGGTGATGGTGACTTTACACGGGTAATGCTCAAGGGACAGCTGGTATCAGGAGTAGTCTTCAAGGGACAGTTAGTGTGAAAGCCTCGTAAATGCTATCACTCTCATCAGAATCTGCTAAAGTCCTGAGAAGAAGACTTTCACCGACGCTGTGTTCATAGGTAATAACGAAATAAATTAATAGAGGCTGTCATTAAATTTCCAGATTCCTCCAGCACCCAGGTGACCCGCGAACCTGAGTGGGCGCGGGGTCAAGGGAAACCGGGCTAATGGGGGGGAGGGGGGGCGATAATAGGTCGGGTGGAGAGTGACGGTAGACAGCCACTGCGTCACACACATAATATACACAAACACTGCCATCCCACTACTATTTTACACTAGTGCAATACTTCCTATTTTTAATTACATTTAGCTCTATACGCATTTCGCACCTGACTTACTAATGACAAACGCACCAAAATTACTTCACATATGTTCCCGACCCGTCAGGTGACAAGTAGTGAAAAAGTTACAATAAGACTTGGGTTTGCTTACTATTTTTTACTTGTTGTCGTATACAGTGCAGCGGGAAACATATTTAGGCTTTGGTGTTTGTAAAGAAGCAGCCAACAGACCCTACACAAGTGACCGATAAACTGGACCTCCCATCCTTACAGTAGTGCCAACTCCAGCTTCCCGAGGGTCGTCATGGTAACTGGCTAAACCTTACGCTAGAAATATCCTAGACTGAAATTCGCAACAATTTCATGCAAATTCCGCTAATATTGAGGAAATTTATCCTGATTATCCCTTAAATGTGCCAAAATACATCCAAATACTAACTATATCTGAGGAAAGTTAAACATTATGCATCTGAAATTGAGTCAGATAAATCCTAAAATCGTTCATTCTACTTTACTATTCAAGAAGTCACTAAAATTGACAAGAATTAATCCTAAAATGACTAAAATGTAATAAATTTAATCATAAAATCCCTCAAATTCAGAATTATGATCATAAAATTTACTAAACTTCACGAAAGTCCATCTGAAATATTCTGAAGAGACCTTGATATGTAGTACGCTAATTAGGCACCATTGTATCTTTATTCCTAACGTAAGTAGAGTAGATTTTTTTTTTTTTTTTTAATTTCCAACAAATCTGCACTATTTATATAACAGATGGAGGTTAATTTAACATTTTCCCAAACTCCTTATATTATAATTATGACTAACATCAGTTTACAGTCAATGAATGTTAAGGTAAACAATACTAGTCTTACTAATGCCTTGTTATATAAGAGTAATTTTGGTTATCGTTTATATTTACTTAATTTGGTCAAATATGTTGTCTTAAAATAAATAATATTGATAATTATTCTTTAAACTTTATACTAATGTTAAATTTGTATATTATATAATGTTGCTGTTATCAATTTATCACTTCAATATGACCTGGGTTTAAAGACGAGTTTCACCATCAGCTGCCAAAATAGTAAACACACGTTGGACTTGGCTGGTTGAGTCTTATTTCTTCTGTACTGTCCACTATCCTGAGTCTAATTCCTTACAACAATTGAAGAACATAAAGCAAAAGAAGTATATACAAAGTTATTTTAATGTCGTAAAAACTGAGTATACTGTAGTAAGATATGGCCTATACTGTACTGGTAGTTGATGTAGTTAACACATAAGGAAATTTAATCTTGATGATAATGTGTTAAATTGATCTTTAATGAATTAAGGTTAAACTGAAGTCCGTTTGAACAGCTACGGTATATATTGTATTTAGCGCTTTAGAGAGTGTATACCGAATCCAGGTAAAAAAGTCACAGGTAAAAAAGTCACAGGTAAAAAAGTCACAGAAAAAAAGTCACAGAAAAAAAGTCACAGGAAAAAAGAAAAGTTAACTATCGAATTCTCACATTTTTTAAGGTTAATATGTCAATCAGTTTCAGTAACCTAACCTAACCTAACCTAACCTAACCTAACCTAACCTAACCTAACCTTTATTACCGGCCACCATAAATTAATTGACTTTTTTTCTTGACTTTTTTTCCTAGCCAAAATTGTGACTTTTTTTTTGTGATTTTTTTCCTGTGACTTTATTACCGGCCACCTGTATATCACAACAATTTCAGGTTTTATCTTTTTGGGCATGCAGGGAATTTTAGGATTTTAAGGTTAGGTTGAAATTATGTTATTCCGATGGTTTGTGATGTGTTTTGAACAATTCTGACCTACTTCCAAATACGTGCATGACCGAAACGATAACTTACCATCAATCTTAGCTCCATCACGGTGGGCAGGGCTCTTAAGTTGAGGGAAATTTGGGGATTAAAAAAAAATAATTAAAGAACCCAACCTAAAATATCCTAACCTGGTCACTGTACTGTGGAGGAGACAGACACGGACGATCTCCTTGGAGAAGTTATGTAGGATGATAGCCATCAGAGTTGCAGTGGATGAAGAGGGAATGAGTGAAATCCTTCCTGTCACCTGAAAAAAAATTAAAATCAATATAGAAAAAGAGAAATTAAATTTGATTTTCCCCCCAAAATCATTATTATCACCCAAATCTGTACCAAAAACTGTAGCTACGAGAGAACCATCATAAGCTGGTGTTTACGGAATAGCTCAAAAAGCTTATTCAATCCGTTCCGATTCAGTGTCATTTTGATTACCTCAAAAATATTACTGAACAGCTACATTATATGATTTATCCTATCCTTAGGTTAGGCTAGGTAGGTTAGGTTAGGTTAAGTTGCTTCACCTGTTTCCAACAAATTATATAATGCAGCAGTAACTTCTAAGTTGTTCTTTTGTAGTGAATGGTTGCCAGGAAGTGTTCCTGTGTATGAAACGGTCTATCAGCAATGAAGTTGGTGTCACTGAGTGGACAAGATACCTTAACAGTTTTTTTTTTCACCTAATTCTACCCTGTCTGCTTCTTCTGGAAATACCGTATATCATTCTGATTCGCAGTTTCACACTTTGTGACTGTGTTTTGTTGCCAAAGTCCTGGGTACTGTACTGTACTGGTGAGTAACAATATTACCAGGTCCTTCAGTTGCTGAGTGATGGAAGGTAAATTAATTTTACTCATGCTTTGGATATCAGGCATAACCGACATCTTATTTAATTAGAATTACTGTTATAGAAGGGATTTCTTTGTGATGTATACAAAAATTTCACTGTTGGGAATTCACTGTACACCCCATGTAACAATAGCAGATTATGGTATCTTACAATATATAGTGAACCTGGTTTAAATGGCTATTAATAATGAAAGCTCATATTCATTTTTTTGTTTCAGTTCATACACTTAAAACTCAACAATGGCAGATGAATGGAAGAAGAAAGTAATCCAGGAGAAGTTGGGGGGAAAAAACGACTGGACAGAAGAAGAACGGGCTGAACTCTGCCGACAACTCGACCAAGACCTTGATAAGCATATAGATGAAATGGGCAAGACCAAGTATGAAGGAGGATGGTCTGAAGACAATTGGAAAGAAGTAAGTTCCTTAATTTTATTGTTTTATATTTTGGAAGTATTACGGGGTTTAAGTGAGTTTGTATGGTATTAATATCTTCTCTATACTGTATTCTTAGGTATAAATGCAGACAATTCTCGATTTAAGACAGAGGTCTGTTCCAGAAAACCATTTGTAAATCAGTATTTAATAATTAGAAACAAATTTTCCCTTGACTTCCATTATATTTATTATGATACTGTACCAACAGCAAATGGCAGATCATCCTCTGTTTGCACCATATGTCCAGGAGGAAGGTGTAACAATGGGAGAGGAGGCACCAATGAACCCACTGAGTGAAGGCCTGGCACAGATTAAGTTTGACCCAGACCACAATACTCCAGAAGGTACAGTAAGTTCTCTTTTCATGTTACTTTCTGCATTTTAATGTTTTAAGAGAGTTAACCAAGTCTAACAAGAAACTGAAATAAATCCATTTATTCTTATGTCGAGTGAAATGATTGAATCAAGCCTTACTTGCTTCTTTTTTTTAAATGATGTACCATAGCTGTTCACAGAGGTTGGTGAAGGTCGTTTTAACCTATTGTAAGTTTATATATGAATTAGGGAAAACAGTGAGATAGGGAGCTCCACAGAGTCTTGGGTGGAAAAGAATTCTAATTAGCAGAGATTCTACAAAATTCAATATTTATACTATTGTACAAAGATACAATATTTACCCTTCCAAATGTATTCATAGGTTGTTGGCAGGTGAAAAATGATGACACAATTGAGTGTAGTTCTCAAAACTATATATGTTTATTCACGTAAAACTGCTCTGTAGTACCATCTCTAATCTTGTTTTTCAGAGGTTGCCCAGAGCTATAAAGAGGAAGGTGTTCTACAATTCAAGTATAAGAAATACAGATTGGCTGTTTTGAATTTCTCGGAGGGTCTGAAGCAAAAGTGTTCCGACAATGAATTGAATGCCCAGCTCCATAACAATAGGGCAGCTGCCCAGTGGCACTTTGGTAGATATAAACTATGTCCTTTATATTATTTAAAGTCATGTGTAATTGTGTATACCCTCTTCACTCATGCTGAACCACCTCCAGGTATAGTACACTGCATAACAGTATCTATTCATTGATGTTCTTTCTTGTACTACTGTACCACACATTTCTCCATTTTTAACTGTTGAAATGAAATACTGTACTGTGTAATTTTGCATAGCATTTATAATCAGTACAAATTATCAATTTGAAGGACTAACACTTTTATTATGATTGTTTCTTTATTGAAATTAACAGTTACTTTTATTTAAGATTTCGGTGATAGTCCGCAGAGCACGCATGATATTATGGGCTGAAGATTTCTGAATTTGTGAAAATTTCTTACATGCAACTTATTTTCGGTTAAATCATTTATTAAATTTTGTATTTTGTATTTTTTACCTGGGTTATTCTTTCTCTTCAGGTAATTATCGGTCAGCAATTAAAGACTGTGAAAAGGCTATTGAATTGAAGCCAGATTACTTGAAAGCTGCTTTGAGAGCAGTAGACTGTGCTACAAAATTGAAATCATGGGATGAAGTTTTCACGTGGTGTGACCTAGGCCTTAAACTGGATCCCACCGATCAGAAGCTGAAGACCAGTCGACTAACAGCAGTCAAAGAAAAGGTGAGTTGAGAGTTTTATCATCCATAGTTTTTTTTATTACTATTATACTGTACTGTACTCCCAATTTTAAACATTTATTATGAAAAAAGTAACAAAACTACAGTGAAAGTATACAAGATGTTATCAGATATGGTCATTATATAAAATTTTATGTCAGCAGCGCACCGTATCTAATTATCTAGTAAACGTCTAGATTTAACGTACGTGTATGTGTTTTAAATTGTACAGTAGAGTACTGTATGTCTCCATATACTGTAAGTCCATATTAAATTTTTCTCTTGACAAAAAAATTGTGTATGAACTTATCTCTATTTTCTTTGCTATTGATAACTGGTGCTTTCTTGTCTTTACTTCACCATAGAGGGACTGTATCTACTGCTCCTTTTGACATTTTTACAGTAAAATAACTGGTCAAAAGCATGACATAAACACAACTTCAGAATAAGGCAAGTACAGTATGTCTGGCTGCACATGGTTGAGTCAAACAACAGCGTTTCCTGGGCAAACCTCAATGGTCTGATGTGTTCGGCTCATGCCAGATCAGCTGGGTGACCAATCTCAACTGCTCTGTCTAGAATTTTCTTCGGTTTTCAATTTTGGGAAATTGGGATAAAGGACTCTCAAGCTGTATTACATGAGAGTAAATAAAAAGTTGGACAAGCAGGCAACTGGCTCAGTATTGGTGTGTTCATGCGTACATGTGTGTGCGTGTGTGTATGTGACAATTCTACAAGTGAGTCTAATTGAGTTTGAGGAGTAAGTTACATGGTGATTGTAGGAGAATGATGACATATTGAAAACTTATTTGTAGACTTAATAGCACTCAAGTTACTGTACAGTCCAGAAACAAATAATATAACCAAAGTGACATAAGTACCTGTATTAGACACTGATTCATTACATGCCTTCCTGGAACACATAGCCATAATAGTAACAACTATACTTAATTATCCATTTTATGGAAGCCTCTTGGTCCCTATATTTTCTTTTGACTGATACTTCACTGAACTTTGCTTGAAAATTAAAATAAAATAAAACTGCACACAACTATGAATATTTTGGATATTTGTATGTGCAGACCAAAAAAAAAAAATACTGGTTACTAAAGGGTGCTGAATAATGAAACTTTAATTGTGCTACTTAATGTAAGGTTTGTGAAACCACAGTACGATTCAAGATATTTTTGTTTCTTCAACAGAAATTACTGGAAAGAAATCTCCGGAAAAAGGCTCAAGAAGAAAAGAAAAAATTAATGGAAGAACAAAATCTCTTGAATATTATTTCAAGTCGTGGCGTGAAACTTGGGAGTACAGTGGTGAAGGGTTCTTCATCTCTAACTCTGGCAGACTTGGAACCAAGCCATCCTGCAGCACAGGTGAGTCTGGTGCTATTTACTTATCATAATATGCTTGTAATACAGTAGTTGAGTTTTGAATAATGTTGATAATTTTGGCACTAAGATATTTTTCTAGAAATTAAAGATAAACAATTATATATGACTGTAAATTGAAATTTCCTACTGTCTCTGTACCCACAATGTACATTCTAGGATCTCCAATAGAATTTCTATGTCTGATAGGGGCTATGACTCCAGTGACTGGAGTTGGAAAATGCTGGCTACCACACTCGGCTGAATATCTCTGCTGTGATGCTCCCTATCAAATTTAATTTGATAAATGAAGTCTTTCTCAAGTTAGTGAGTGGAATTGACTTCATGTATATGTATTACATCTTTCTTTATAGGGTTCTCGTGTCCACATCAATGAGAATGGAGAGTTAGTGTGGCCAGTGATGCTCCTGTATCCAGAGTATCATGAAAGTGATATTATTCAGAAATTCACAGAAAGTGATTGGTGAGTTTGCTAATTTACACCAGTACAGTACAATACAGTATAGTATATATCTTTTTATTATTTTCTTTATGAGCTGTTTCTTTTGTACAGACCAGTTTACTTAATATATAAAGATATTCCACATTTCTGAATACATAATAAGACTTCCCTAAGTCGGACTACTGTATATGGGGTTTGAGGCTGTCCAACTTATCTTGAATTCTGACTAATGCGTAACTTCCCGTCCCCCCTGGGTGCTTTCAACAATCAATTTGCTGAAAAATCCCATCCAAAAACAAAATAAAAAATAACAGTACCTTTATACATTTACACTGCACTTATTGTACATATTTTTCCTTTCACACTTACTGAATGTACAGTACAGTACTGTAATTGTGATGACCTGTGGTGTAATAGTCAGCATGCTCGCTTCACAAGTAAGTGGTCCCGGGTTCGATCCCCGGGCAGGGTCAAACTATGGGCAAGTTTCTATATGCCATTTGCCTCTGTCAACCCAGCAGCAATTGGGAACCTGGATGTTATTCGATTTGCAGATCATGTTCCAAGGTAATGGTTAGCCAGTGCAGATGGTACATTGTCTGGTCTTCTCGAACTAGTCCTTGACACTGGGTCATGCAACTCGTTAACTTGGGGTGTGGGTGTTGTGTTGACGACAGCTTCTACACCTTAAACAAATTCACGCCTCGGTGACCCTACGGCCAGCCATCCGTCAACACAAGGGGCAACCATTATTATTATTATTATTATTATTAATTGTAATCACTTTTTACATCTTAACATTGCTTTAACACTGCATTCTTGGTTGATTGTGTATTGGTAATGTAATGTACAGTACAGTACTGCACGACACAAATTGTACTCGAAAAGAGCAGCTAGTGAGGGAACAACCTTCTTTAATGGCAGCAGAACATGAACTAAGCAATCCAAGCACCTAGGTCACCCATGTGCCTGACAAACGGGGACACGTTGGTGCATGATACAATCTCTTGTAAATCCCGGAAATTTTGTTCCCAGGCCCAGAACGAAAAGGTTTGGAGTGATTTTCTCAGAATTTTTCCAGAAAATAAACCTGATATTCATTCTCGTTAACTCATTCGCAGGCCCGGAATGGAGAGGGTTTTCCCGGAATTTTTCCAGCCTGGTTTTCATTCTGGCTATTGAAGAGTTTCAGGGATTGTGGATAACAGGGAGATTACTGTATACAGTACTGTACTTGATTTATCTTAAAATTTGCTTGAATTTTCCTGTTGTTTTGGATATTTCAGTTATTTTCATTTGTTTTTTAACCAGTACTTCTGTTAAGTCTTCCATTTGTCTCTTATATGGCCTTCACTGTGTTCTCAATTAATTGTTTTGCACTTATTGTTTCCTATATGCCTCTTTATTTTTTTATTCTTGACCACATCCTTAATTTTTTAAGTTTTCCTTTTCCTTTGATTCATCTTAGCTTATATATAAATGGAAAGAGGATGATTAATTGACAAAGAAAGATGAAAACTATTTTTATGGACTCCTGATCATCAAGTTAAATATACTTCAAATGTCTTTACCAGAACATTTCATTTTTCTTAGTGCTGTTAAATGACACACATGTACTTATTATTTCAGTATCCAAGATCACCTGGAAGATATTTTTGGAAATGACGCTCCATGTGCACCATGGGATGCGGAGCAGAAATACCGTGTTGAGAGTCTTAAGGTTTTCTTTGAATACAAAGCAAAAGATCAGCTGTGCAAAATTGACCTTAATCAGACTCTCCAACAAGTGCTTACTGATCCAAGGTGAGTGGTAGGCGTTGGTTCAGGAGAATAGAATAGAATTTGTCTTTCTTATTTTCAATTCATTTAATTCCTTTTAATCATATGTGGAGAGAAACTAAAGATATCTTTCTGTTGAACTTAACAACATTCTAACCAAAGAGGTCAGCTCCTGAGGGTGCTGTGCAAATCTCTAGATTGCCTGTAAATTTGAATTAAAAAACACCTTGGTTAAGCATTACCACAACATTTACTGAAGAGCCAAAACTTCATAAACCTTCCAGTTGGTGATTATGTTAGCACGTATTCTTGAGGTTGGAACCAGAGGCTTCTTCTGTATGTATATTCATGGTAGTTTTCTTGTATGTGTTCCCACTGATAACTGAAACAGCTTTTTATGCACTTCCAAAACAGTGTGTATAATAGTGGTGTATTTGTTAACAGTTTAGTTTATGAACTATTGAGTATGATATTGCATAGTTATCTCTTGGGTATGAGGGTCTCACTGCTGAATAATATCATATGGCATTGGCCAAGTAAAATATATTAAAAGTGGCATCCCTGTAGTGAAGGGGTTAAAAAGAGGAAAGATTCAATAGAATTTGGGTTATTTGGTCAAAGTTCTTGGTCAGTATCGCTAAAAACAAGACTTTTATCAGCTTCATGTTGAACAGTACCGATTGATTTTATGGTCATTGGGTCAAAGATCAAGGTCATTATTTTATTGCTAAAACTAGAATTACAACTCTAGCTTCCCTACAATTATGAATATAATATTTTTGAGGTTACTGAATCAAAAGTCAAGCCATTATTGAATGCATCTATGAACCTGATACTATGCACATGAACACATGGCACATGATTGTTACCAAAGCCAAAACTTTGGCTTACGAACAATGACATGAGTTTTCCATATGCATCAATGATAGAAAGTATTGCCTAAGTACTGTACAATACTTAGCCGTCATGATATATAGAGGTCCCTGTAAATTTTCAGTGATTTACTTATACAGTATCTTTACCATTAGTGCTGTTTATGACTCTATACATACAGGTCTGTTTGGAGATTTTGTATACTTTACCTTGACTTATATAAACAGAATTTGTATGTGCTATTCACGGGGATAATTCATGCCAAATGGAAATGCACTAAGCAGTGTAAGATATTAAAATATTAATCCTTTTTTCTTTCGCAGATACTGTGTATTGGGTGGAACTCCGGGTTTTATTGTTCTCGTTGACGGCAGCAAATTTACGAAGGATTTTATGTCAAAGTATAATGTGTGTACTTGATAATCTGTAGTTTTATACATACAGTATATACTGTATATCCATATTTAAATGAGTATTTAACAAATGTAATATCATGACCATCACACTATATGGTAAAATCAATTATTAACCATATTATCCATATACACAGGAAGTGTATATTAACAGAGTGGAAAACCATGATGGATTTTATACTTCTGTAGTTTGCATGTATTGTGTTAATTGTAGTAATGTATGCGAGATGTATGGATTAGCAGCTTAGCATATACAACACTTACTTCCTGACTTAACAATTTGGCAAGTGTAGGCTGTTGAGTGCAGTTGTACTGTTACCTTCAATGCTCCCAATTGGCCTGATGGCTTATTGGGTCCTTCTTGCATGTGAGATACGAGTGTGATATTTGCATGCTAAATTTTAACAGCAATAATTTGAGCTCAGAAACATTTTATACCAGAGAAGATATGACACTGATAAGAGAAATATCTTAAAAGAAATTATGAGACGTAAACAAAACTGCTATAAATTCATTTTATATAAACAAATGATTGAAATGGGCCTATAGCAACATGCATTTGAGTTACATGACCACCAAAGAAATAGAATGTGAATGAACACCTAGTGAAGGCTGTAATTACAGTAAGTCCTTAATTTCTGCTGGGTCTGTGTTCCTGGAGAGCACAGTAGATACAGAACCTGCAGAACTAAAAATAACTTATGGAAGATAATGGGATACATTCTGGGGATGAATTTCTGTCATCTGAGGTCAACGTTCAGTTAGTTGTTGTTTTTATTATTTAATCCTGACTGCTGCACAGCTAGGGTAAACATCCTTGCATGTCAGCAACACTTGTCAACTTAGGTTAGGTTATCATGAAAGAGACTGACAAGGTCTTCCCAGGCCCAATATCTCCTCCCTTGAATGAGACCTGACAGTGAGGTCAAAGTCCGTACTTGTCAACTCTGGTCATCATCAATCCCCTCCTCTGAGATGTGACAGCTAGTAACATTGGGGTAAACCTGCTTCCAATCACAAAGGTCATTTACAATTGTGCATGTTATCCAAAAGTAAAAATTTATCTTAGTTTTATATGTTCTTCAATTCTTGTGTTTGTATTCAGTATTTTGAACTTACTGATTAGTTTTCAATAAAGAACAGAATTAATTCTTGTTTTTCTTATGAATAACCTTATATAAACTGGTAATATTTGCTTGAACTTTAGTCACCACATAATACCGTATGATCTAAAGCAACATTTGCCTCTTGTGGATAACGTTAGCAGAAATTAATTAAGACCAAAATCAACATGGGATGAAATTGACCTCCCCCAGTAGGTTAAGATCACTGGATACCTTATGACAGTATCTAATAGTTTCAGCCCACAGGAGGTTGGCTGAACGTGCCAATAGTTTTCTTATTTTCAGGTTAGGTTTGAGTTGGTTAGGTTAGGTTAGAATTAGTTAGGTTCTTTCCTGTTCATAATGTATTTTACTACCTGTAATTCTTTTTGCTTGCATGATAATGTCATAAATAATCGTCCTGCAATATATATATGGTCCAAACTTACTGAAGCTGGACAAGGTAAGTTCAGACTAATTCACAAATACCAAACTTACTGTAAAACCCTTATGGCTGCCAGATAGTGACAGCCTAATCAGAAAAAAAACCGATTGATAATTTCTTGTCCAGTGAAAGGCGACTTCAAAGTCCAGTATTGTTCTTGCTTTGGTATTATTTTACGTTCGGAAAACACGGGAATATTAGGAATTTTATCTGTACTATAGGTAGTTTTGATAATTCTAAGAGACCTTTATTCTATGACGTTTCTCTCACAAATTACTTATATGTGCCCTCAGTTAGGTTAGGTTACGTTATTTGCGAGGCAAACATCATAGAAGAAAAATGTCTTAGAATTGTTTTAACTATTTGAATGATAAGACTCCTGTGTTATCCAAAGGTAAAAAAAATTCCTTGGTTCTACTTGTACAATTTCTGCTGGTAGATTACTCCATATACTGTAGGTAGTAGGGATTAGGCAGCTACCAAACAGGGAGGTACTACCACCTGGGAAGATATTGGAAGCATAATGTGTTGTCTATGGTAGATCTTGCTGCCATATGGCATCACGAAAATTGTGACCAAGTCCCAGGTTGCTGATCTGACTTTCTGCCTCATTTACACACAATTGCAGTCTCAATTGTTTCTCTTACTTTGACAACACAACTTACATATATCATTTCTCACTATTGATTATTTTTATTTGTAGTTCTTTGTTATTATTATTATTTTTATTGTTACCTGTATCATTATTATTTCATTATTTTATTTTTAATTATGTATTTTTATTATAAATTCTATTTACTATACATTAATATTATTATTATTAATAGTATTATTATTATTATTATTATTATTATTATTATTATGATTATTATTATTATTATTATTATTAAATTTTCGCCCCCCAGGCCCCGATGTGGGTCAGTGACTTGTGCCCGGGTGGGCTAATCCCCGTAAAAAAAATAAATAAAAAACTGGACTGCCTAAATTCTTCCAGCAGGACAACTTAGTGAGCTTGAAAATATGACGTCTCGAGTAGCTAAAATAAATCATAAATGCGTTTCCTTTCAGTAAGTCAGTTATCCATAATACAGTAGATCTCGATAATCCGAACCCAAATCATTTAAACATACATAACAGAAAACAGTTACAAATGAAAATAAACCATTTTATACATATATGGAAAATCGATTTAAACTCACCAGAAACAATTACTGCCTGAGGTGATAGTGGCTATGAGATCTTGCAGTGAGAGTTACTGGGAGCCGGGAGAGAGTACAGCCGCCTGTTACACTATACTGGGCAGATGTTAACAAGACTGGTTGTTAGGGTGGGTACGCCTCCATACAGGTAAACAAAAACATTAGGAAAAGGAACTAATTAATTTATATTTATACCTGGAGATAGATAAAATAAAAACACTATATCCTATTAAGTTTCCTTTGCAAATTTATATTTTTCGAATATTTTGGAAGTTTTTATTTCACACAGGAACGATAATTGACTTAGGTGGAGTAGTTTCCACTGTACAGCCATCAGCGTGGCTCTCGGTATCACGTCAGTTGAATTTTTGTTGACGATTCGCAAGATGGTGTCACTCCTCGGTGTAGCTTCGTGTGTTTCTACGTTTAAGGACATTTGGCTGGACAAAGCACACCTGTAAGCGTGAAATAACTTATTATTTTTGTAAGGCATTTAACAGGAAAGTTGAAATAGATGAGAATAACTTTGGAAAATTGAAATACAATCGTGGCCGTGAATTGTGTGTGTGGGGTGGGGGATTAGATCTGTCTCCAAAAGGTAATACATACTACTATTGTCTGACCAGTGTTGATACTCCCATACCGTTAGTTCAGTGATTTGTAAATGCAGGTGCAGTATACAGTACCCATAATGAAAATTTCGTGGATCATTCTATAATATTTCGCTCGGTACATACTACAAGCCGAATACAACGACCACAACACCATACTCCACCACAGTACTTCCTCCTACAAGTAACATCACTTTATCCTTCAGTATGTTAATTAAGGTAAGTTTTGGGTATTATTTTACAAGTGGATTGAAAAGAAGTTTGCAAATGAATAGTCGCTAAAGATAGATCTCACCCATATCTCACTTTCCTTAAGACATCTCTATCGCAAATTACATGTAACCGAGATATTTAATAGTTTGAATTAATTGCCATAAATTCTTCGAAAAATCTAGTCCCCGGGTGTCGTTTACAACCTACACCCACTTTTAATCTCACGTCCACAAAAAACGTAATATTACTTTCTTTGGTACAAGATAATGAAATAAGTATTTTCTGTTTAATGTAGATGGGGTTCGGGCCCCCTGCTAAGAAGATTGGTAAGGTTAGGTAGGATTCTTTGACAGGTAAGGTTAGGTTAATCACTTTTCATTTGTGACAGAAGTGTATAGAATGAGAGTTACTCAGAATGATGGGATATATCGGGAGCCACGAATTACCCAAAAGTATAGCAAATAAGGGTAAAATCTTAACGAATATCTGTTATACATACACAAAACATGTTTAATAATATTTCAGTATTGGCGAACGCTAAATTCCAAAGAGTTCGTGAACAAGGGAGATAACTCAGATCCATCGTGATGCACTTCGCTAACCTAACCTAACCTAACGAAAAGTAAATCATATTGCTATGTTAAATACCCGTAAGTAACAGAAACATCGGTAATTATATCTCCATTTTGGATAGGTGACTCTTTGGAATTTAGCGTTTTTCGCTGTTTATTATTTCATTATTTTGACTACATTTGAATGAAAACATTATTAATCTGGTTTTATTGATATAAAACATATATTCGTTAAGATTTTACCCTGATTTAATATACTTTTGGGTACTTTTGGGTAATTCGTTGGGCCGGGATATATCTATGGCATGTGTTAAAAACCTGAAAATCGCTGAGAGTACACTAGTAATTTTTTTTTATAAACACATGGAGGTTCTCATTTCTCTAATTGGGCGGTTTTATTGGAGATAGTTTCGTCAGTTTCTTTTTCTTCTGCGTGCTTTTACCCCACAATTTCCTTCTACTTCAAACCCTGCCCACTTTGTGCGACCGATATTGTTGGTAATTGGGGGGGGGGAGTCATTTTATTTTTGTTAGTACTTTCCGTGGCCAACCTTTTCCGAATCTCTACGACAATTTTCGTTTCATATCTTCGCCGGGCTCCGTATTAAAAAAACAAAAAAAAAACAAAAAAAAACATTCGTTATTCAAGACAATCCGCTGAGATTTGTGATTCAGGCAATGAACTCAAAGCCACCAATGTTACCTTGAAAAAGACACTAGTCTTGTTAGTTACCGATATAAATAAACCAAGAGCAATTTTGCTGGATATCAAATTATGATTACTTTAGTTATCCATACAATATGCAAGAAAATGGGTACTATGTATCATAGAAGAAAATGTTCCTGAGCAATTCGTGAGTGACTTATGTTTTCCAGGCCGATTTAAAGATAAAATTCTGCTTATTAGCTGGTCGGGTGGTCTGTTGGTACTGGCATGTGCATTTAAACAAGTACTGGGAATATACAGACTTCTGGGTGTGCCTGAACATGTTCCATTGATTGTTAAGCCTATACTTAAAGAGGAGTTAGAGCTGTCATTGCATTCTCTGGCAGGTAGACCGCGTGTCCTCCTTTGTTCTTCCTTGTTTTCCTTCATTCTTCTTTATCTTCCTCCATCTCCCATTCCTTCCTTCTTGCTCCTTTTTTAATTTCCTCCTTCTTTCGCCCAAGCGGCTAACGAGACGATCTTTTGGTGAAGAGGATAAAAGAAAAGGAAAAGTAGTAGGTAGTAGGCAGCTATCAAACAGGGAGGTACTACCACCTGGGAAGATACTGGAAGCATAATGTGTTGTCTAATGGTAGACCCTGCTGCCATATGACATCACGAAAATTGTGACCAAGTCTGAGGTTGCTGATTTGACTTTCTGCCTCATTTGCACACAATTGCAGGGTTTCAATTGTTTCTCTTACTTTGACAACACAACTTGCATATATAGTTTCTCAATATTGATTTTTTTCTTTATGGTTCTTTATTATTATTATTATTATTAGTGTTGTTATTCTTATTATTATCATTATTTTTTTATTTTTTATTTTTATTTTTTGTATTATTATCAATTTTATTTACTATGAATTATTATTATTATTATTTTTATTATTATTTTTTTCATTTATTGGGCACCCTCCACATCCTTGTGTAAGGTGAAGCGCAGAAGCGTTTACAGCGCCTAACAGGGAAGCATGCTAAGTTCATGCTTGCCTTTATGTCTCATGAGTATTATTATTACATTTTCTCCCCTCAGGCCCTGATGTGGGCCAGTGACCTGTGCCCGGGTGAGCTAATCCCCGTAAGAAAAAAAAAATCAGAGACGTGACCGATCGCCCAAGCGGCTAACGAGCCGATCAGTGGTGAAGAGGATAAAAAAAATCTATTTTTTCTTGTGCATTTTAAATTCCTTTTCTTCCATCTTTTATGTATTCATCTTCCTCCTTACCCTTCTTCTGTTGTTTCTTTTGTTTTCTTTAGCTTCTTTTGTTCTCTTCCTCATCTCTCTCTCTCTCTCTCT